AAAAAAAAAAAAAAAAAAAAGAAAATGCAGTTCGCTCAGCTTGTGGTTGGGCACATGAAACTACAGACTTTGAAGACAGTGTGCTGAGACTGAACCCACAGCCAGAGAAGAGCCTCATGATTTGCCAACATATAAATAAGCCTTTACCAGACAAATGAAGATGGCGTGATCTTTCTACCACCTTCTCTTACCCAAAGAAGAGACCAACCTGCTACTAATCATAATTCTTGAGGAAATTCACAGGCAATGACCAATCACCCAATGGTTATGTGCGTTCTTTGTGGGCTGTCTTTTAAGGTTTCATACTTCTGGTGTGTGAGGTAAAAATCAGCCATATTTATGACACCCAGAATGTAGACTCCTTGGTGAGGTAGCAGCAATATATTATTATTTAGATAGAAAATTAAAGGGAAAGAAATGTTTAAAATGCTCAAAGTAGTAAAAATAAAATATTATATGGTAATTTTTTCACCTACACACCATTTTTCCTTTGTACAGTTGTTTAATGACTCAGGATATGATGGCTTACAGCATGGTTTTCCCATATATTCCTACCTCTGAGTCTCACAGTCCCTGAGGCATATAAAGAAGATGGAGTATCACTTTTGTGGGAGGGGGCTGGTGACTGCCACTCTACTAGCAGGTGACCATTAGGGACTGATGTCTCGAGTTTCTGACTCTTCCTACCCCATGTATGGTTCCTACCCACATGGCACCATGAGTAAAGAATCATCCAAAATTCGGAAATTAGATATAGAATACTCTATTCAACCAGAAATTTAACATAATTAAATATATATTCGGCAAAAGTTGAAACAAAATATTTTCTGGAAAACTCTGAGGCCTGAGTCTGCTATAGTTGTTACCACTGACATGGACTAGGGTGATCAACTGACACGGATTAGAGATGATCAATATTGTACAGTACCTGAAGCAGCAAGTCCCCTTCAGAAAACAGATCTACACTGATTTTGGGAAAGGTCTGTTCACTGCTTCCTGGGTTCATGGGTGAGTCAGCTGAGCAGCCTGCACTGCTGTCCTTTAGGGCGGCTGAGAAAGAAAAAATGTGTAATTATGAACATGTGCCATCTCACATGGATGAAAAGGAGAATCCAGATGACCCTGGTTTTCAGCTTCAGGACAGTGTGTGTCACTCTGTGTACTGGCACCTTGAGCTCTTCCAAGGTTCCAGTAGGAGTGGTGACATCTGATTGAACACTTACCTCCTCTAGCTGGGAAAAGAGCCCCATTTTAACTTTTGTCTGAGCTGTTCTTACTGTGGCTTCTCTGCAGGCAAAGAATTAAGTTCAAATACGGCTTCCTCTGAGAGGCCCTTGCCACTTCTCCTGAGGAAGATTTGTTGTGCTTCCCTCTGCTCCCTTAGCATTAAAGTCACTGCCATTAAAGAGTGATTTGGTATAAGACGATTTCATTCTTGCCTTATGTATCAGATCAGGTGTAAGTACATAACATGACCTGTTACAAAAAATTGCAGATCCAGACCCGTAACTGCTTCACCACCTCTACCACTACCATGCAGGTCTGAGACAACATCAACTCTTGCTGGCCTTCCTACTTCTACTTTTGCCCCATGTAATCAATTCTCTGAACAGAAGTGTGCAGGACATTTCTGAAAAATTATATAACATATGACATCGGCCTTCTGCTCCAGTGGCTTCACTTATGCACAAAACCCTCCAAGGGCCTCATATACACACAAAATCTTATGTCCTGACCGTGACTATTAGTTAAGATTCATTTTGACTTTTTGTAACTAAAATTTCCCAAATAACAATAGCCTATAAGATAAAAGTGTATCACATGCACATACAGTATCAGAATATTACAGTCAGGGATGTGTTCAGCCCTGTCCCATAAGGTTCCAGGGGACCAGCTTCTTGGAGCTCACTCTGCCTTCCTGAACGCAGCCTCAAGGCCGTACCCCTTCTGTTCTTAGGAGGAGGGATCTGCAGAAGGGTGGCACCATCTCTCTTGTGGAAGCTGCCACCTGACTCCTTTGCTTATAGCCTGTTGGTCAGAACCCTGTAACATGACCACACTGGTGCAAGGAAGCCTGAGAGGCTGGCCTTTTCCCGATGGCCACGTTTTCTCCTGAAACTGCACGGCTCCCACCAACCTGGCCATGTCAGCCACGTGGCCTCCTCCTGACTCCTAGCTGTTTCCCAGAAAAGACAGGCCCTTCTTGTTCTGTGCTAGGAACTTTGCAAGTGCTGTTTTCTCTGCCTGGAAGTCCCCTCTTGCCATTTTTCACATGGCTTCCCTGTCATTTCCTTGTTGCTCAGAATGGAATCATCAGCAGCGTCTACAGCTCTCACCTCTTACTCTATTTTGCCCCCTCAGAGGCTTTACCTGATTTTATATTGTACACTCGTCTACTGAGGCAGGGGCTGTGACTTCCACTTGAATGTAACCATTCTGCTGATAAGGCTTTTGTTTCCTCCTGTGTCTCCAGCACCTGAAGAACTCCAAGTGCCCAGTGGTGTTTAGCAAAGGCAGCGATGCACACAGGCAGGTGCGCCTGCTGGACCTTCCTTGAGATGCTGCCTAGGGCCGGGCTCATCATCACATTTGTACATAAGCAAGTCAACAGGGCTTTGGTTGTGGGGTCACAGACACAGGACAGATAAGGGAAGGATGAGCTCATGAAACAAGGTAAAGTGTCCTGGGACCTTACGCAGGCATCCAGTGTTTCCCCTATTCTCATCCTCTGTTCCATAATCTAGGGAATTCCAAACTCTATTTCTGTGTATCTGTAGAAATGAAGGGAATGTGGCCCCACAGATGCTCACAGTTCTGTTCTACACACAAATCATCCCTAGAGGGTTCTGGCAGGGAGCCTGAAAAATAAGCCAAGGAGGCTTTGCCATTTAACATTTGTAAATGTTATTGTAAAGCATGAATAAGTTTGTATAAGCCTGAAGAATGTTTAGCTGGGTAAACAAAATTTATCACTAATAAAGAAATAATTGTGTAGTTTACCTGACAGTGAATCACTTTCCAGGGCACACTCTAGGAAAACCCACCCACAAAATTATCAATGATAGTAGTGGATCTATTTTCTTCTAAGTTGAAGATTAAAAAACAAGAAAGTTCATCTAAAAAATCTTATTTAACCATAATGTGCATAATTTGGGGATAAGATGTTCAGCATGAAAAAGAAGCCCACATAGCTGACATTTTCCTCTAATCAAGTCCTCAGCGAAACAAAAAATAGCACCACAACTGCACTGCAAAAGTCATTAGGGAAAGCTGGTGGCAAAGACACACCAGTAAACTTATGAAAAATCACTGGGAAGAGGCACTTTCTTGTTATCACGTGGACTCGGCAGTGAGGTGCCACGCATGGCACTGGGCAGCACCCTCCCTGTGGCAGGCAGGGCCAAGGGCACCAGGTGAGTGCTGCTTCCTAACCTTCTCATGATTGGCTGTCTGGTTCCCCAAATTCTGAAGATAATTTTTGTAATAAAGGCCCACTAATTCAGGCATCATTGTATGATCATTTTATATATAGCATGTACTACCCCCTTCTAATACAAGCTTCCCAAAAGAGGAAAAAAACAGGTTACCCATGGGCAAACCCCTCTCTACCTTTCTTTACCTTTGTTACTCTCTTCTGGTCTCTCTCAGCTAAAAAAAGGCTATTTAACATAGATGTGATTTCTTCTTTGTATGGAGTTTGTATATCTGGAGAGATTTACGATAGTTAATTCTTTTCTTTTTTTTTTTTTTTGAGACAGTGTCTCTCCGTTGCCAGGCTGGAGTGCAGTGACACAATCTCGGCTCACTGCAACCTCTGCCTCCCGGGTTCATGCAATTCTCTTGCCTTAACCTCACAAGTAGCTGGGACTACAGGTGCCCACCACCATGCCCAGCTAATTTTTAGTAGAATCAGGGTTTTACCATGTTAGCCAGGATGGTCTCAATCTTTTGACCTTGTGATCCACCTTCCTTGGTCTCCCAAAGTGCTGGGATTCCAGGTGTGAGCCACTGCGCCTGGCCAGTGAATGTGTATTTTAACAATTGAGGTGGAATTCACATGCGAGCAACCATTTTAGCGTAAAGAATTCAGTGGCATTTAGCACATTCACAGTGCTGTGCAAACACCACCTCTTTCCAGTTCCAAAACTCCGTCCTCACCCCAGATAACACCCTACTCCTTCCCACAACCTGTGGCCACCTGGAGTGTGCTTGTTCCTTGGAGGACATTCCACATTGCTGCTGGGCATGATTAAATAGTTGCTGCTTTTCTGCAGTTATCACTGTATTTTGAGCAAAAGTTTCATAATTTTCAGGGTATATTATCTGGGTTGACTGGATCCAGTTTTAGTTTTTGAGTTTCTTTTTTGAGCAGCTGTAACAATTTTAAAGATTAATAAGTCCTGACTTTTGTTCTTTATTAGAGGTCTTCCAAAGAACAAAGATAAATTTATTTATTTTAAAAATAAAATAAAATTCATCTTGTCTTGCAGTGATCGTATGAGTCCATTTAACACTTATATAAATCTAAGATACATTATTGAACCTTAGTGATTTTACTTAGTTTTTAAAATATTAAAACATTTTGCTAGTTTATCGTCCTGAGAACTATTTCAAAGTTAATCATTAAGGATTCTCAGCTTTGCCACGAAGACTAAAATAATATGCAAATAGAAGAATGATGGAGCACCGAGAAAGATAATGTGATAGAGAAATCTGCATTCTTTGGTATTATCCTCCAGTTTTCTTGTTGCCAAAGTTCTATTCAAGAAGATGCATCCGAAGGAATGGAGATAGTGAGGCCTGTTTTTTCTTTAATTAAATACGGTGGAGAGTTCAGAAGTTTTCATTTTTCTTTCCATAGTGGCAAAGAGATGACAACCAGCAGAGAAAGAGGTTTTACAATTTTAGATGGGTTGGAAGATAATTTCCAGGGGAGATCAGTGCTGTCCATGTGATAATGGAAATGGTTTCATACCTGCCATCTCAGCCACACGTGGCTACTGAGCTCTGAAAATGTGGAAACTAAGAATTTAATTTTACTTAATTTTAATTGATATAAATTTAAATTTAAGTAACTATATATGGCTAATAGCTACCCTACTGAATAGCAAAAATCTTCTTGACTGTAATATTTAAAGTGAAAATGATCATATAAATGAAAGCTCAGCAGAGAAATGGAATAATAAAAACAAACAAAGAGAATTTTTTGATCTGTAAAATACAATACCTGAAATAAAAAATACATTTAATTGGCCTAACAGCAAAACGAACACTTGGAGAGAAAAGGATTGATAAACTTAGAGACTGGTCAGTGGAAATTATCCAAAATGAAGCAGCAATGAGAACACTTCACAAGGAATCAATGGCCTGCGGTACAGCATCAAGCAGTCTAAAATATATATAATTTAAGTTCTACCCAGAGAAGAAAGAGAGAAGAATCAGGAAAGGTATTTGAAGAACTAATGGCCAAAAGTTTACCAAATTTGATGAAAATGATAAATCCACATTTGTTGTTGGAGTAGAGCTGGCAGGAGTTTATAATAAGCTTCAGAGACGATGCTTACTTGGGACACAAGTAACGGGACACATTCTCCCTCACGAGAGGTGACGCCACAGGAACCCAGGTGGCCACAGACTCACCATGTCTGCTCAGTCTCACTGAATACAAGTTCCATTTGCAGGAATGGGTTAGAACATCTGTCTTTAAGTAGCAACACAGTTCATGGGCAAGCAGGCTAAAGAAGAATAGATTGTGCCCACTGTGTAATAAAGAATTTTAGGAGGAGAAGTTTTCAAGAAAACAGGAAGAAATCATGTCCTAGATCCTATGCTATACTCAAAGAAAGAGGACCTTTGTTCTGAACCAAAGTCCTGCAAGGTAGAGGAACACTTGGATCCTCATGAGAAATGACAAAGCAAAGGGTCTCAAGAGCTAGGGTGGTCATGGTAAGAACTCTCCCTGGAGAATAACAGAGCCAGGCAAGGGGACTGGTGCCATCTCCTCCCACTAGGACAACGAGGAGCTGGGGTTTGCACCTCAGATGGGCACCCGCCCAGGTGAGCACCTGGCTCACCTAATGCACCTGTGTCGAGCAGGTGCCTCCCACCTCTGCCTGAGGTCTGAAGGCAATGGTGCAACTTTCACTAGGATAAAGGGTTAACCCAAGCTAACCCTTTTCCTCCTGTGGCCACAGCCTCCACCAGGGTCCCAGCAGGTGCTGGTGGGAGGGGCGGGCTCTCACCCTCGCTTTGTAATGGCAGCCACCACTTACCTGCAAAGTAGCCCTTCACCTTCAGGTAGCCCACGATCAGCCTGAGGACGGAGAGCTTGTCCAGCCGTGCACGCACGTCCTCAGGGAAGGGTAGCAGGTTGGTGAGTCGGCTCAGCTCTTGATTCAGTCGGTCCCGGTGCCTTTTGGAAGGGTTGGTCTTGGCTCCCTCTGGAGGCACTGGCTTAGGACTTGGGGGAGAGAGAAGAACGATCATTGCCCCACTTTCCACTGCCATTTCGCTCTTGCATCACCCCAGGGATTCCAACACCATGCCCCGCACTGCACAGCCCAAATCAGTGTTCAGGGGCAGACTCCCTCGTCCTGCAGTCTCAGGTTCTACCCATCCACGATGCCCCACGGCTGCTCTGCTCTCACCCCTTTCCTCATCTGTCAACTGGGGTCCCACTGGGCCCTGGGCGCCTAGAAGGCTCCTTCACACCCAAGCAGGAAGGTTAGACCTGGCAGCCCTCAAAGCAGCAGGGCTGGCCCACTTTCCCTCCCACTTGCATTGCATTTCCATGTAATTTTTAAGTTAGAAAATCTCTATTCCACAATGAACACTGACAAAACTGAAACTCCATTTAGGAAAGTATAATTTTTTAGGAATTGAGTGTATGCACACACGTGTGTGCACACACACAGAGAGATCCTCAACATGTATCTATGTGTGTACTGTCTCTTTCTTCTCTCTTTCTGTGTGTGTGAATACACACACATAAACATACATATGGACACAGACATTATCTCTCTCCATATATACATACATATAAATTCTGTGTGTGTGTGTGTGTGTGTGTGTGTGTGTGTGTGATCGATCTATCTCTACAATCTTCTATCATCAACACGCAGGGTGGAATGACTCCTGGAGGCTACAGTCACACCACCACTCATCTATCTTTATTCTTACAGGCTTCCCCTCTGGATTTCACATTCAAAAGTTTCCACATTTCCCACAGATGGAACTAAGGTTTTCATGCGTAGCTTTGAAAGAACATCTTCTGGAGGCTCTCCTGTTGGTACTGTGTTCCCAGTGCCCCACCCTCATCCCTCAAAGCCCAGCACTAGCCCACAAGACAGAGTCCACCAGTCATTATTTCAGAGACATTCATGAATAGTTAGTTAACCCAAGTAGCATGACTGAAGCTATTTCTATTACCTCACCTCCAAAGCAAAACACAGTAGCACTCTCTGGAGGACAGGATGAAGTTTAAAACATGATAAGCAGCAAAAATATAGTTTTATAAAAGGCCAGATTGGGTGTGGTGGCTCACGCCTGTAATCCCAGCACTTTGGGGGCCAAAGTGGGAGCAGGTCAGAAGTTCCAGACCAGCCTGGCCAACATGGTGAAACCCCATCTCTACTAAAAACACAAAAATTAGCTGGGCACATGATCCCAGCTACTCAGGAGGCTGAGGCAGGAGAATCATTTGAGCCCAGGAGGCGGAACTTGCAGTGAGCCAGACCTCACCACTGCACTTAAGCCTAGGCCACAGAGCAAGACTTCATCTTAAAAAAAAAAAAAAGCCAAATGTAAAGAATACAGATGCTCTACTTAACTTATTCTATCTAGAGGCAAAAGTAATGAATGAAGCTGTTTCTACCTCATTTATAAAACACACCGACAGTCTCCGTCTCTCAGGGCTGCCATGCAAGAAACATCCAACCTGGGCCAGTACACAGTAGCTCAATGCATGGACAACGTTTTGTAACAGGATATTAAAATGCCAACTGAGCTGGCAAAACTCCGGGGTATGAGTGTAACAAAAGGAACTTCAAGAACCAATTTGGCAACTCTAGGCTCCACACTCAGGGGGATAGGAAAGGGCTGAGAAAGGTTTTGTGAAGAAATTTCCCTGGAAAAGATCTGTACTTTGATTCTACCTCTACCACTGATCCCCTAGAAGGAGCTGGAGAGGCACAGAGGCCTGGGGTCTGACTTCCTCCCAGCAGAAGGATAGGCTCCTTCTGAGAGTAGATCACAGGGACAGACGTTGCTGAAGACAGAGCCCTGCAGAGCTGTCTTAGGTCCTGCCCAGAAGGGTGTGAGGAGGCATTCAACATTCCTGTGACAAGAATGAGGCATTTAGTCTCCTGGGGATGTGTGTGTGTGTGTGTGTGTGTGCGCATGTGCGTGTGTGTGTGTGCGAGAGTGAGAGTGAGAGAGAGAGAGAGAGAGACAGAGAGAGAGAGAGAGAGAGGGAGAGGGAGAGAGAAGAGCGAGAAAATGTCCAATGCTCTTTAAAAGAAGGTAACAAAATCCAGACAGTTTAACAGTGCCAATGTTCATCATCCAACCAAAAAGCACTAGACATGAAAAGAGGCAAGAAAATGTGACTCATAATGAAAGAAAATCAAGTAAATCCAACTTAGAAATGACAGAGATCATGCAATAGACAAAGAGACTTTAAAGCAACTTTTACAACTATGCTCAAGAATTTAAAGCAATGGCCGGGTGCGGTGGCTCATGCCTGTAATCCCAGCACTTTGGGAGGCCGAGGCGGGTGGATCACGAGGTTAAGAGATCGAGACCATCCTGGTCAACATGGTGAAACCCTGTCTCTACCAAAAATACAAAAATTAGCTGGGCATGGTGGTGCGTGCCTGTAGTCCTAGCTACTCGGGAGGCTGAGGCAGGAGAATTGCTTGAACCTGGGAGGCAGAGGTTGTGGTGAGCCGAGACTGTGCCATTGCACTCCAGCCTGGGTAACAAGAGCGAAACTCCATCTCAAAAAAAAAAAAAGAATTTAAAGCAACACATGAACATATGAGGAGAGAAACTGAAGTTATAATCAAATGGAACTTATAGAGATGAAAAAACACAATATCTGAAATTAAAAGTTCATGGAATGAGCTTGATAACAGACCAGACTCTACAGAAGGAAAGATTAGTCAACTTGATGACTAGTAATGGAAATTATCCAAACTGAAGCACAGGAAAAGAAAAGGCTTAAGAAAGGTGAATAGAGCCTCAATGACCTCTGAACTATATTAAGCTGTCTAATTTACACGTAATTTAAGTTGTAGAAAGGCAAAGGGGCAAAAAATATTATAGAAAGTAATGGCAGAAAAATTTCCAAATTTGATCAAAATGACAGACCTCTGAGAAACTCAACAAATCCCAAGCCAGATTAGCACATTTGTGCACACGGACACACACCAGAGCAAAGAACAAACATAATCAAATTGCTAAAAAGCAGCTATGGAGAGAAAAAATCTTATAAGCATTCAAAGAAAAAAAGATGCATTATATAGAGTTGAATTAAAGGTAAGAATGAATGCTAAAATCTCCCACTATTATTTTGTGGAAGTCTAAGTCTCTTTGTAGGTTGTTAAGAACTTGCTTTATGTATCTGGGCGCTCCTGTATTGGGTGCATATATATTTAGGATAGCCAGCTCTTCTTGTTGCATTGATCCTTTTACCATTATGTAATGCCCTTCTTTGTCTCTTTTGATCTTTGTTGGTTTAAAGACCATTTTATCAGAGACTAGGATTGCAACCCCTGCTTTTTTTTTGCTCTCCATTTGCTTAGTATATCTTCCTCCATCCCTTTATCTTGAGTCTATGAGTATCTTTGCATGTGAGATGGGTCTCCTGAATACAGCATACCGATGGGTCTTGACTTTTTATCCAATTTGCCAGTCTGTGTCTTTTGATTTGGGCATTTAGCCCGTTTACATTTAAGGTTAATATTGCTATGTGTGAATTTGTTCCTGCCATTTTGATACTAGCTGGTTGTTTTGCCTGTTGGTTGACATAGTTTCTTCATTGTGTTGATGCTGTTTACCATTTGATATGTTTTTGGAGTGGCTGGTACTGGTTGTTCCTTTCCATGTTTAGTGCTTCCTTCGGGAGCTCTCGTAAGGCAGGCCTGGTGGTGATGAAATGTCACCAATTGCTTGTCCATAAATGATTTTATTTCTTCTTCACTTATGAAATTTAGGTTGGCTGAATATGAAATTCTGGGTTGAAAGTTCTTTTCTTTAAGGATGTTGAATATTGGCCTCCACTCTCTTCTGGCTCATAGGGTTTCTGCTGAGAGATCCACTGTGAGTCTGATGGGTTTCTCTTTGTGGGTAACCTGACCTTTCTGTCTGGCTGCCCTTAGCATTTTTTCCTTCATTTCAACCTTCGTGAATCTGAAGATTATGTGCCTTGGGGTTGCTCTACTTGAGGAATATCTTTGTGGTGTTCTCTGTATTTCCTGGACTTGAATGTTGCCTGCATTGCTAGGTTGGGTAAGCTCTCCTGGGTAATATACCGGAGAGTGTTTTCCAACTGGGATTCACTGGTCACATTGAGGTACACCAATCAAATGTAGATTAGGTCTTTTCACATAATCCCGTATTTCTTGGAGGCTTTGTTCATTTCTTTTCACTCTTTTTTCTCTAATCTTGCCTTCTCATTTTATTTCATTGAGTTGGTCTTCAATCTCAGATATCCTTTCTTCTACTTGATCGATTCAGGTATTGTGTATGCTGAATTCGTGTATGCTTCACGAAGTTCTTGTGCTGTGTTTTTCAGCTCTATCAAGTTGTTTATGATCTTCTCTAAGCTGTTTATTCTAGTTAGCATTTTGTCTAATCTTTTTTCAATGTTCTTAGTTTCTTTGCATTGGGTTAGCACATGTTCCTTTAGCTCAGAGAAGTTTTCTACTACTCACCTTCTGAAACCTGCTCCTGTCAATTCATCAAACTCATTCTCCATCCAATTTTACCTTTGGTCTTTGAAGTTGGTGAATTTTGAATGGGGCCTCTGAGTGGATGACCTTGTTTATGTGGAAGCTATTTCTTTCTGTTTTTTAGTTTTCCTTATAACAGTCAGTCCTCTCTGCTGCAGGACTGCTGGAGGTCCATTCCGGACCTTGCTTGCCTAGGAATCACCCGTGAGGGCCACTGTCAATATTAGACAGATCGATGAGACAGAAAATTAACAAGGATATCCAGGACTTGAACTCAGATCTGGACCAAGTGGACCTAATAGACATCTACAGGACTTTTCACCCCAAATCCACAGGATATACATTCTTCTCAGCACCACATCACACTTGCTCTAAAATTGACCACATAATTGGAAGTAAATCACTCCTCAGCAAATGCAAAAGAATGGAAATCATAACAACCAGTCTCTCAGACCACAGTGCAATCAAATTAGAACTCAGGATTAAGAAACTTACTCAAAACCACACAACTACATGGAAACTGAACAACCTCCTCCTGAATGACTACTGGATAAA